TTTATTTTAGTTTTTTTAGTAAAGTAATACTTCATTTATTATTAAATTAAAGTATAATAGAATAATTAAAATAATATCAAAGATCATTTTTTTATTTAATATAAAAAAATTATAATTTATTAGAAGCAATTATTAATTTTTATATTGGTATATCAATCTTTTTGATATAAGATATATAAAGCTATATCAATTTTATAAGAAAATTTTTTCAATTGATAAAAATTCTCGCGTATTATGTTTTATACAACTTTCTTGGTATAAGAAGCTATTTATAAATATAATATTTCTATTTGATGCGATCTCGTGTAAAAAAAATTATAAGGTTGTACGAGAAAGGAAGTTTTGATAAAATGATAAAATTAGCCTTAAAGAGTTATTGTAATATTGCATACCCTACCAAAGAGTGAATTAAATTATATTTAGCGCGTCATAGGCAATAATAATAATAACGGCATAGTGCAAAGATTCGTTTCTTCTTTAATATTTAGTTCATAAACACCCATTTTATTATGGAAAATCTGAATAATCTTACGATCTGGGATGTGAAAGATGTATTTAATAAAGTGTAGGCGTAGATGACTAAACTATTGTTTTGAAATCATGAAATTTATTGAATTAAAATTAATTAAGATAGAAACGTTATTCGTACTTAAAATAGGAAAAATGTAGTAATGAACTACACAGAAATGGAAGCCAAAGTGCGAGAAGCTACTAATAATGAGCCTTGGGGGGCTAGCAGCACACTGATGCAGGAGATAGCTCAAGGAACCTATAATTAGTAAGTATCGAGAAAAAATTAAAATACGAATTTAATCTATGGTGAAATCGTGCGAATTAATTGACATTAAATGTGAATTTTTCAGTCAATATTTTAATGAGATAATGCCGACAATTTATAAAAGATTCACAGAAAAAGAAGCACGACAGTGGAGGCAAATTTATAAGGTACCTAATTATATCATGAATATTTATTAAATTTTAAGTATAAGCATTATCAAGTATATATAATATTTCTTGTAGGCTCTTGTGCTTTTAGAATATCTGGTAAAACATGGATCCGAGCGAGTTGTTGATGATGCTCGTGCACATATGGCTACTATAAAAATCATGAGGAATTTTGCTTACATTGACGAAAAGAACAAGGACCAAGGGATTAATGGTAAATTAAATTTTATAACTCGATAAATTAAGGTTTTTTTGGTTAATTAGAAGTCTTTAACATTGATCATATGTTATCTACTTTATAGTTCGAAATCGTGCTAAAGAACTTGCAGAATTGCTGAGTGATGTTGAAAAAATTCGTACAGAACGCAAAAAAGCCAAAGCCAATAGGACAAAGTATACCAGCGTGAGTTCAGATTCTCTTGGTTATAGCGGATTTGGAGGATCTGGTTCTCGATATGGAGGTTTTAGTGGTGATTCTTTTGGATATAGTAAGTGTTAATGATATTCAAGAAATGAAGAAAATTATACTAGAGTGCAGCTGATTATTTTTTTTAAATAGGTGAAGAAAGAACACGCACACGTTATGATGATTATGATACACAATGGCCGAATGAAAGTAGAACCGGTCGAAACTCCCCACCTGGTGAAAGGCGATCCAGTGGATCACGATCGAGCTTGAGCGTTTCCAAAAAGCAGAATGAATCAGCCGCCTTCAATGAGTCATCAATTACTACTATTGCAGCGGTAGAAAATTCTGAAGTTAATTTATTTGAGTTTGAAACCTCACCTACTGTAGAGTCTAAACGTGATTCAATTGGCAATGAATTCTCTCATGTGAAATCTAAGTTGTCTGTTGGTAATTATATTTTTTGTTATCTTGAGCACAAATTTTTTCTTTCTCATCAAATGTATTTTTTAATATCTGCGTGTGGGAATTTTTATTAAGATGATGAATTTCAAGATTTTCAAAGCGCCCCAGCATTAGCACCACCCTCTCAACGATCATCGATAACAATACAGCACCCACAGTTGCATTCTGATTTAACAAATACTAAATCACAAATGTCTCAAGGTAACACTATTGCACCATCCCTCAAAACATCCGTTGAAGCAAACAACACTTTAATCGATGATTTGCTTGGTCCTGTTTCTCCGGTCTCTTCTCATCCTGTGACAACTACTACATCAACGTCAACATTGTTTTCGTCTGGATTAAATGCAAATATGAACATCAACACCAATATTCAAAATAATAATAATAATAATAATAATAATAATAGTAATAATAATAATAATAATAGTCAACAAACTTCTGTCAATATCTTTCCAATCACACCTACAACCCCAAATCCGGTTCGTTAAATATTTACTTTTCAATTTTTCATTCAAGTAAGTAATAAGTTTATTAATTTATAATGCTCATAGATCTCTCATAATCAATCCTTCGTGAGCTCGAAATCGAACGATCTATGGGCAGAAGCATCCAATCTTGTCAGTTTGGATTCATTGGGAATGAGAAAAGATTCAGGGTCAACTAACAGACCCTCAGTTGCGCCATCAATGAATTCCATGGTTCAAGCTAACACCAGTTCGGCTTGGGCCGCTAAGGGAACTTGGAACAGCGGCTCACAAAATTCACAAATAACATCCCAAAACCCTCAAGATCCTTTTGATTTGCTTCTGTGAAGTCTTTTATTATTTATGTAAAATGTTAATAATATCAAAATAACGTTATCCAATCATACGATATTTTTATTTTTAGCGAAATAGAGAAATGACAATCTTGCTGATTATATCTTACCAGAAAATAACTAGCAATATCGTTTAGCTTAAAAAAAGAATAATGGAATTTTTAGTTAATAAATGATAAATTTAAAATATAAGAATTAGATATAGAGAAATTAGTCTCGCATTAAATAATAGTCAACATTTTTGGCCAAAATTTTAATAATAGAAATTTAATAACCCATTAAATATTTTTACATCTCATATCAGTAACAAATACATTTGAATTTCTTAAAAATTGGAAATGCAATATGTTATGATGATAGTTGGGCTGGTGGTGGTGGTGGATTGTCGTGCGCTAGACTTGTTAGATCATTCATCAAGTTTCTTCCTTCTTCTCGCGCCTTGATGCAAAAAATAATTGATTATTTTGTTAAAGAATAATGAATTTAAAGAGATTTATACTAACTGTTCCCCCATAATTCATCAAATCTTGCGCATGAGTAGTAGCTGCTTTGATATCGCCCAAATCCCTATTGTAGTGTGCTAAAAATCGATGAGCATTTCGTAATTCTTCAGCATCTGCATTTAGCTGAAAAATCAAGAGCTTTTAAAACAATATAATATATCAATCAAAGAAATACAATGTTTATAAATAAATACATCATCTCTTTGAAGAATCATCTTATGATACTTTGCGGCTTTAACCGGATCAATAGATTCATATAATGTGGCCAATCGTGACACTGCACTCTTTGTAGAATTATCATCGCAATCAGAGCATTCAAGAGTATGTTCATAACATTTGATGGCTTTCTCTTGTGAATTCACATTCACAGTCTCATAAAGACCTGCTAATGCCTCCCACATTCTTGCGTCCTGAGGACTTTGTTGGATCAATGGGAAATATTTAATATCATTCAAAATTATAAAATAAAAAGACTATGACATTGATTATTGTTAATTAATTATTTTGCTTACCGTAATACCGTGGCACGCTCGTAGTAATAAATTGCGTAGAAGTCCATTTTTAGAAATTGATATGTTTGTCCTAGACCAAACCATGCACGGTAATCATTCGGATTTACTTCTGTAATTAAAAACTTAATTTGTTACTAGTGAAAGATTACGAATAATTTTCTTTACTAATTAAATCAATATTAACCAAGAGCTCTTTTGTATGCTACTACTGCAGCATGTGTATTTTTCAATTCCACGTATTCATGCCCCATCAAGGTCCAAGCAGTCAGGCAATGCCGATTTACTTGCAAAGCACGTTTAAAATATGAGATTGCCTTTTCTCTTTCTGATTTTAAGCTATAATAGTTTCCTAAAAAGAAAAATAATAATGAAGTAAAAAAAAAAGGGCAGCAACATTCTTCAAAAAAAAGAGAATTACCTATAATGCACATCGTTTCTGAACGATATTTATCGGTATTTGCACTCATATGTGCCAAAAAGCTTAGTTTTGCTTTCTTATCCATCACATAGAGAACATTAGAATAAATGTCCATATCATCTAAACGAAATGGATCAGAGAGAATAAGCTCATCAAATTCGCGTTCAGCTTCCGCAAATTCTAACAAATTAATAAGTAATATATGTATTAGATTCTTGATTATCCAAAGGAAAATTGAAATAAACGATTTACCTCTATTATTATAATGCACAATAGCTTTAAGCGTCTTAATAGACTTGTTATCTTTGAAATGAGGTGAAAAACCAGATAATAACGAATAAAAGTTATTTTGATTTTCATTCAATTCGACCGACGTATGAAGATCAAAAAATTTAGTCATAAAATGTTTGGGTAGCTCTTGCATAATCTCTTTTAACTGCGTGTATTTATAAAGAGAATGGATGAGAAATTTGCATCCATAAAATTTTTAATTTTTGTATTGCTTAATGACCTGATTTTTATCGCCAACGCACTGAGACAATTCCAACCAAGCACTCCAATTATACGAATAAGCATTGACAGATGAAAGGAAAAACTTTATCGCCGTCCTTTGAGAACCTAACTGTTTTGTAATGAGACCATAACTAAAATAGTGCGTTTATTATACAATCTCAAAACATCACTTTAACAATTACTATAATTCTTTTAACTCCAACACATACAGATAAAGCAGAAAGCCATCCATTTCGTTTTCATTATATAATTTTTCAAGCTCTTCCTGAATTGTTACTAATTCTTTATTAATCGCTTTAGGATCATCCAACGGTCCTATTAATTTAACACCATCCATCATTCAATTAAAACTTATAAAACCAAGAATTGATCATTATATAAAAAATTAAGTTACCCATTATGTCATTGCTTTCTTCCTCTTTTCTTTTTTCGCCAGCCTATTAGACATAGATATATTGCATCCATCATACACAGTGAATTAATGTCTGCAACTGAAGAGAAAGAAATGGACAAAATCGCATACCAAATATTTAGCATAGATTTTAAGGAATAGGCTTTTGGGAGAAACACATTTTTCCAAGACGAAAGATGCTCTATCAAACTCTTTAACATCAAAGTAAGACTTTGCGAGGAGGTACTTGTCTCTCTCACAATTACTCGAGAAATTCTCGGTCGTTTCATTTTTTGCATCATTGAATATTGATAAAGAGTCACTAACGCTTGTTGAGGTATCTATAAAACTTTCCGGTAGGCTATTGAGAGTTTCTGCTGCCCTATCAAGACACAATGAAGTGGGCACTCAAACGTATCTTTAAAACGAGCTGAGTCAAATATCTTGTCATTGCTTGATTACCATTTAGCAGCGAAATAAAGTCCTCTGTCTGAACATTGCAATATTGCGTCACGAAGATTAGATTTTATAAAATCCAAAGAAGGGGTCTCTGTCTCAACTTCATTAGGGTCCATTTTGTATATTTTTGGTATAGCAGGATATTTTTCTTGATTAACATAGAAACATCCGTGACGTCACGCGCAAATTAAATATTGATTGACAGCAGTGCCAAACTCGGCGCGCGAAAATGGTGCTATTCAAACTTGCAAAGATTTTTCGAGAAGAATGTCAGAAAGCGGCATTTCAACCAATACAACATCGCACCAAAAACAGTCCCGGCAATGCCAAGAAGGACCGCGTGCGAAAAAACTTGGGACTCTTTTGGATAAATGTCTCTCAGAAACCTTGAAAGCTTACAGGTAAATTAAAAAAAAATTACCTCTTTTCCTTCAATAATTTATTAATGTCATTTTCGTAGCTACGAAAAATTATCTTCATGTTTCCCCACACTTGCTAAAAATGAAACTGAAGCTGAGGATTTTAAAAATGCACATGAAGAAGTCTGTAAATTCTTGAGAAAAAGCTGTGAGGCATGTATTTATATATCGTATTTTATTACACTTTTGACTGCTAAATATTTTAATTGTTGCATTGAATAAAGGAAGAATTTGCGAATATTCTAAGTGAACGTTGTGTAATAGAAAAATTAAATGACTTAGACACGTTAATTGAAAAAGCGAAACAACGCACTACTCGCGCGCAGAATAATAGACCTAGCCAGTAAGTTTTATTTACAATTCACATGTTGAAAGAAAATTAACGTTTAAAAATATATTACATTAAGGGATAATGCCAGTCACGAAGCTCTCTTCCGAGCAAAAACCACGCCATTAAAAAAAAAAGAATTGGAACGTTTGCAAGAAGAATTAATGCAGGTAGCTTAATTGTATTGATTATAGATAGCATTGACTTTCGAGCGTAGAAACTGATTATCCGCTGCTGCTCATTGACCAAAAAAGATTCGACAAGAGAACAATAAATATTATTTCATACTTGCTGACAATCTGGAGAAAATAAAAGCTCAGTCTAAACTCACGCAGGAGATCACGAGCGGATTCACTAAGGTATTGAATTTTTTTTCAATTTTAGAACTCGTTTTTTCTGGTAAAAAAAGAATCCGAATATATATTTATTCATTTAGGCTGTCGAGCTTGCATCTCAAATGCCAGTGGGCGAAATGGAAGAGGTGATAAATACAATCATCAAATGAAGATAGCTTTTGAAAATTTTGTGTACATATTAAATTTGTGTATTGTGAATAAAAGCTGTCGCTATTATATAATGAAAAAAGACGCGAAGAATATTTACATGATGCTAACAGTGAAATTGAACTCAACCTATTAAAAAATTTAACTATTCAGTGGAATATGCTATCATTATCATTCATGAATAATTAACAATTGCCACTTAAGAGAAAAAATCATCATCGTCGTCATCGTCATCTTGATTAACTTGCGGTTCAACCTACACAACGAAAAATCGATATTAAAAAAAAATTCGTCTTTAATATCAAATCTAATAAATACCGTATCATCCTGTTCTTTTCCATCTCGTGATGAGTTTGCCCCGGTTGAACGTGAGGTAACCGATCTCTTAGGCGCTGGAGGCGATGCTGAAGGTTTACTAAATAGATAATACATGTTAATTTAAGGATTTAGTTAATATAATAAAGGATTCATCCAAACCTTGTGGCCCTACGTTTCCGGCTAGTATTGCTAGTATCGTTTGTCTCACTCTTAATTACTTGTTTCGGGGAAGGTCTTTACATTTTTTTGATAAAAAAAATAAGATTCTTAAGATAAAATATAAGATTTATTTTGGTGAAATTCTCTTTTCTTACCTCGATGATTTCGAACTAACCAAAAGATTATTATCGCTATCTTCATCAAATAACGCGGTTTCTTCCGCTTCCTCGTACTCATCATCATCCTACAATATAGGAACGTGAATTGATATAAAAAGATGAGTACAAAAATAAATTCAATTTCATACCTGCTTAAGTTTTTTGGTTTTCTTTGACGTAGTGGATCTCGAGTTCCCTGTCCTTGTAGTTCGTCGTTTATTTGATGTTGGTGGTTCGTCATCAATGATTTCTTCACTTTCACTCTCATCTTGAACTTCACGCTATTATAAGAAAAAAAAAAGTAAATAAAAAATACAAGAAAGCTAAACTAACAAATAAAAATCATACCAACATAATTAACAGGAGCCTTTTGACGAGTTGATACCCGTGTCACTGTAGTAGCTGTAGTAGTGGAACCACGTGGTCGACCTCTCTTTCCGCGTGTAGATGACATTACACCTAACGCACTCTCACTATCCTCCTGAATGTCATTGATATCCAATTCATCATCAAAATCTTCTTCCTTTACGATGGAATAATTTTAGTATATATATATATATTTCTTTTGCAGGTAAACAATAAAATAAAACCAGACAATTATATCTACTTGTTTTTGACGAGTTGTTTTCCTTCTGGTGGAAGTAACCTGTGATCTCCTCGTGCCTCTAGTGCTTTTTGCAGATGCTCGCGCGCGCGAACTTTTAACTACTGTGGGCCCGATGACTCGAGTGGGAGTACTAGATATTGTTGATGAAGATGGGAGAGATTGATCATATTCAACCTCCATCGAATCATTCTCCGCTACTGGCTATTATTAAATCAATAATTTTAAAAGAAATGAAGAAGATGGAATCCAAGGTAAAGAAAACTCTCGACACCTTTATTCGTCTTGGAATGTCTTGTTCTCGCCGAATTTTTTTCTCTCTTCCAACCTGTTAATTTATTAGAATAAATCAGAAAACATTTACCATAGTAAGATTTTCCGATTGACACCTACCTCATGATAAATCCTTTCTTCATTTTCACCAATTTGTTGTTCTATTAGTCTGATTTTGTTTCTATCAAGAGTATCGTGATAAAAACTTTACAAAAAGAGAAAAAGCCAATAAGATTCCGGATTCTAAAGTTCATATCAAATTTTCCACTGATGGTTCTTAATACCCACTCGTTTATTTCATCAGGGTCCTCTTTCTCGACAAAAGTAATCACAGCATTGTTAAATTCATTTTCTGGCAAAATTTGGAGATCATCCAATTGAAGATATTCTATCAAATTTGACGTCATGTTTTCTTCGACTATTTCTTCCTCTTCCTCTTCCCGATTATTTCTTACGGCTCTTTTCCCTTTTTTAATTGCAATGATAATCCTCAGTTACTAACTAAAAAATGAAAAAGAAACGTACAATTCATTCATAAAGTTAAAATCAATATATAACCTTTCGATGATTTTTTCCGATAAAAAAACAGAAGATCGCGAGGATTGGCTACATGATCTATAAATTGATCACCGAAAATTCGGATATTGAAAATTTTGAATCGATCATCATAGGCGACCTGAATCAGAGAAATAACGATATCAACTCTTTAGAACTTTTCGCTTATAATAAAACTAAAAATAAAAAAACAATAATATTAACCTTAAGTCTAATCAAAGGAAGTGGAAGTTTCTCTGTATCAATCAATTCATCCGGTTGATATAAAGATTTCCATTCATCTGTAGATTTCCTTATTAGTTCATTCACCTGTAATGTATGAACGGACATCATATAAATATATTGAGCAACGAAGAAGCTTTAAGATATTTTATCAATCAGATTTACTTTATCTATCAATAAATTTTGGATTTCTTTGGGTTTACTATATAAAAAATCGTCAAGAGAAGTCAAGTCTATCTCATCGACAATGAAAGGTCTTATGGTTCGTAAGCGGAATTTTTTTAATTCATAGTTTGTGCCTTTAATGGTCAATAAACCAACATGCCTTATTCGATTGAACGTCAAGTGAATAAACACATTTATGAACATAAATGCATATACAAAAGCGAATAATCAGAGTTACTTACTTTGGAGTAGCTTCACCTTCCACTAAGCTTGTTGCAACAGAAGATCCCGGCTGTGTAATATCAAATTTTTGTTCGGAATTAAAAACCGGGTCAATCAAGCATTCATGTTCATGACCCCATATTATCAGATGAAGAAAGTCTTCGAGAAAATTTTCAGGGACGTAAGTGGTAGGTGCGTGTGCTTGTCTTTAATTTTAATAATGGAGAGCGATAATAAAGTAGGATTACCACGTAACATCTGAAAACCTATCCAAGACCTACCTATTTTGATGCAACACCATCAAATTGAACCATTCATCGGGCGTCTCAATCGGTCGCATCATCTTGACTTGTTTATCGCGCAATGCTCTATGTAAACGTTCTTCGCGGATGTGTCCCAATCCGTAAACGGCCAATTTAGTAGTGCCTTTTTGTAGCAATAAGGGTGTTACTTCAATATTATCGACTTGTTGAGATCGGCCGAAATAATTTATGTAGCCTGATACTGCGAGGATATCTAGTGTTGCTAGACTTCCAAACTATAAGATAATAGAGCTTACGTTTATTTCCTAAATATTAATCATTTTATGTCATAAAATAGACTTACCCCGGATGGATCATCGTGATTTCCATGAATAGAAAATACGGGAATCTCAATATTAAAATACGGGTCTTGATAATTCACAGTAGAAAAGCTAAAACCGAGAAATAGTTATTAAAAAAGATCCTAAACATAAAAGAGCTGGACCAAAAATTTTACAATCAGAAGCAAGTAACCTGTCGGAAAAGTTAACAGTTTGATCGCTCAAAAATTGTAAATTGCATTGTCTTGGTCCCATGCAATATGAGCGAAGTAAACTAATGGTGTTATAAAGAGTTTTACGCGTCGGTTTATTTTCGTGGAACAAATCACCTCCTAAAAGTATCATATCAACCTGTTTTGGAATTGATAGAGCGCATGAATTATTAGATCTGAAAAAGTTTTAAGCAAAATCTACCTGGTTATCCTTTGCTAATTTCAGAATTTCTTCAAAAGCCTTAAATGAATCTTGGCCTCGAACAGGATCCCGCTCCAAGAAGCCAAGATGATTATCAGTTGCAACCAAGACTTTAATTGCATTATCATCCTCGTTTATTGAGAAGCTTCTGCTATCATATAGTATTAATTAAGATAATTCTGATTTTCTAGACGCGTTTTCCATTACATACCTATAGTTGCTTTGGTCCATTTTTCCGACAGATAAGACACACAATTGATGGAGATCACTTCCAAATTCCGAAAAAAGTAAAAAGTCTCGTGATGTATCGGCATATTGTTATCGTTATGCAGTGTATTTAAAAAAATTGAACGACTAAACCACCGCTGCAAACTTTAGAACAATTACCAAGTGCTAATAATTTTAAATACTTCTACTAAACTACCACAACACCAAAAAATACGTTCTACCAATACAAACTAGTAAATAAATCCGCAATTTTTACACCAGGTAGAATGAAAAATAAAGGGTCTTCGGATCGACAACTTATTGTCGAAACTGCTTATTACGGTAAGAAAGACTCACAGCAAGTTAGTGTTATTTTTATTTTTTTTTTGGTCGATTATTGTTTGTTTCGGTAATAATAATTGTAATTTTTGATAATAATGCTGTATAGAGTGGTTATATTTTTCTATTGATTAAAATCATTATATGATTGTCATAAATTAGAATTATCTGAATTATAATAATGGAATGAGTTGTTTGATTGGTTATCGGGCAAAAAAAAGATTTTGTCTGTCTTATGATAGTTTTTTGGAGTTGAAAGAAAAATGCAGAAGTTCAAAACACAATATCTATCAACACTTTATTGTATTGTTTTTAATTGCTACACAAACAAATAAAACAGTCTGACTTGTTACGCCCAGCGAAATCAACCGAAACGACTCAAAAGCCCAAAAAGAAAAAACGATCACCAAATATAACTGAAGGTGTGTTTTTAAATTGAATTACGAATACTTTTCATTCTATCTAACTAATTTTTGTTTGATGTGTTCTTATTGTATTATTTCGTGCCTCGTGGCAACTTGAAAACTTGTATCAAAAGGAATGTCGCTTGCAGAGATATTTGCTGCTAATGTAGCTAGTGCTGTTGATGCCGAAGGTGATTATTTTTTGCCTGTTATTTAAATTATATTTTTCCCTTTTAAATTTATTTTCGAATGGACAACTATTTTTCCTCCAAAATATCAAAAAAAAATAGCTGAATTGGACGAAGACGAAGACTTTATATATGGGGACATAGGACACACATCATCAATAACGAATCTCAATAGTGATGATGGTGGTGGTGTTGGCAGTTCAGGTACAATTAGTAATAATGGAATAAATCAACCATCACCACCACCAACCTTCACATATTCATACATGCCACCAGATCCTCATAAAAATTACGGATACCCACCAAATCATTATTCTACTCATTATCAATTTCCAGGATTATATATGGCAGCATCAATGCCAAATTCAAGTCGTGGTAATCCTTATCATACGTACTCATCTCTACATCCTCATCCTCCTCCTCATCATCATCATCATCAGCAGCAGCAGCAGCAGAGACCTTTCTATGAAAGTGGTGCATTTTTTAATGTTGGCGGTAGTAATGGTAACACACCTGGACCAGAAACAATTGATGGCGGTAATAATAATAAAAAAGGATCATCACCAAATAATCTACTTTCTCCATCACATAAACCGACTGGTGTGATGCGTGCTTCGTTACCTGATATGTCGCGGTATTCGAATTACGGGGCAACCGGTTATTACTATAATGACCCATTTTATCATGACTGGTATGGTGTGGAAGATGGTGAACGGTTACCGTTGTTTGCTAGGTGGAGACCACCTTATGAAGATCAGAGAAGGTTTGTCCTTTTCTATGTCACCGTCAGCCCTATATTAATTATAAAATAATTATAAATTCATTAACTTAATGAATAATAATATTAATTAGGACTTGTTGCACATCGGCAATTTTCTCTTTAACAACATTTTTAGTATTTTCGATCGTCGCCTTCTGCTATTTAATATACTTTGCTTCATCACAACCACTGACTGAGGTTGCGATCATCGATATTGCCAATATACTAATGACAGACAAAGAAATAATATTTGATATGTATGTGAAAGGACGGAATCTCGATATTTGGGATGTGAAAATTATGGATGCGGATCTTCAGGTTTTTGCGATGCCTTATCAAATTGGTGGATTCCCGGAACAACGCCCAGAGGATGGTGATGATGATGACAATCATATAAATAAAGACAGTAGTATTTCTACTATTACCTCTACATTAGATAATGACATTAAAGGTCCTATTGAGAACTCCACGAATAGTAAAAACAGTAGTAAAAGAAGTAATAGTAAGACAAAAAGAAAAAATAAATTTATTTTATCGAGACCTTATACATCATCCCGGTCGTTAACATCGAACGAGTACCTAGGACGAATAATTAATTTTGATGAACCTTTGGTGTTCCAAGCAAACGCTAATCGTACTGGTGTGCTGCAAATAGCTATTGCCCAAGTCACCTTAAAGAATCCGAGTAGTAAAGGTGATCAAGAAGCACAAGATAAATGGTAAATGGATCTATTGACATTTCTTTAATATTCATGAAGATTTACGATGGTTCTTATTATTTATTCTAGGTCTCATTTACTACATCAAGGATTTCGATTATCTGTTCGCGGTATACTAAAGTACTCTTTACCGTTTTCAAAGGATCAAGTGGTTCGAGTATGCTATGTACGACGGGTGGAAGGGTCTGAGACACGTAATGATGATAATGGTGATTCTATACCTCAGACTTTATTATTTTTATCAAAGAAAAACATTGGGTTCCATGACGATTATTATTATATGATGGGTGTGTGTGAAGAACGGGAAGAGTCGGAAAATTAATGATACTATTTTCTTTTAGTGGTTATCAGATTATTGTCATCATCGTCGTTTTTCACTGGTATTTTTTGCAGCTGTAAATATTTCGACTAAATTTTTGATTTGCTAATAGGAGCATGGTTGTTAAGGTAGAATAAATATACAACGGTAAGCAAAATTATGTTTAATAAAATTATAAAATTTATTAGAGTAAGGGCCAAAAAATTCTAAATTCACATTTACTAAATTATAAATTTTATTTAGCATAAAAATCAATATTTTCTAAAGTATATTTTTTTAATTATTATTATAAATTACAAGAAAAATTATTTTCATTATATAAAATTTGCAAATAGCATTTGCATTTTAGAAGTTTTAAGTTGATGTTATAAGTATTAAAAGATTTAAATTATAAATCAAAAGTATAATTAATTTATTTATAATAAAGAGCTTTTTAATATTATTCTTTTAATACAAATATATTTTTAGTTTTTTTTAATATCTTATATAAAAGTATATATTTAAAAATATAAATCAAATTTGAATATTTATAATTCAGAATATTATTAAAATATAAATTATAATTTATTAAGATTTATTTAAAAATAGATAATAATTGTGACAAATTAAAATGAATTTAGATTAAAATAAATTTTGAATCTTTTTTTGTACATATTATTTTGTGCATATTATGTGATTTTATTTTATCATAATATATAGTTTAACATTTATATACTAGTATGTAATTTATTATTAATTATGTATCACATGCAACTAATAATGATATAATAACAAATTTAGTAAGAAAAAAAGCAATTTTTTTCTTATTCTTTCCTTTTTTTCATTTTCTATTTCTCTCTCTTTTCATTATTTATTTAGATATTTTATTCAGTTAATTTCTCAATTAATTTGCATAATTAAATTATTGATCACTTTCTTGATTTCTTTACCTTTTTTTTCTTCATCCACTATTTCTTATTTATTTAGATATTTTATTCAGATAAATTCTTGATTAGTTTGCATATTTTAAATTAAATTACTTCTTATTTAATCAATTATTTTCTTAATTACTTCATGAATTCTTGACTAGCTTTAAATTTTTCTATTATTTTTTTAATGTTAAAAAATACATAAATTAGTTTATTATACTTCTTGTTATTAAGTCCTTATTATCTTATCATATTAATTTAATATATTTTTATTATTAATTTTCATTATTTCACTCTTTTAATTTATTGTCATTTTGTTATATAATTTTTTATATTACTTTTTCTCATTATTATATAATAGTTTCAAGTTATTTTTACTAGTTATATTAAGTTAGAAAGATATTAATATTATTACTGTTTTAAGATTATGCGTATGTAATTATTTTAAAATGATAATAGTAACTATGTTCATAGTAGTTATTTTACTTTTATAACTTCAAGTGATTATATGACTGATAATTCTTTTAATAAGATGATATATGCATGGCTTACTTCTAATAAAATATGATTATCTTCTTAATAAGATAATATACGTGAGTTTTACTTGTAACAAAAATGTGATTATCTTTTTAATAAAATAATTTATATATATTTTACTTCTAATAAAATACTCTCTCAATAGAGCAAGAAGAAAATAAGATAAGATATATAATAAAATATATGTATTTATTAAAGAAAAATACTAATTAATTACTCTTAACTCAGTAGTTAATTCTTTCTACCAAACTTAATTATTCTTT